AAAATTGAATATGAGCAGGAGTGTGACAAGAAAAGAGAATACCACCTTGCTTTCTTTTTGGAGATATATAGAACTTAAAAAGTAAAAACTTTGGAGATATCCTAAAAAGACCAACTGTCATCTAGGTTTGAAAGCACCAAAATACAAATATCTGTTCACAAGGTGAACTGAATATGACACAATGATTTTGTACAACCAACCCAATGATGCAGAAAAATGAACAGAATAACCACATTCTTTTACATGCACATCTAGAGGTACTATTAAACCATTTATTGCATCAATGGAAGGAAGAAAAAATAATAATTTTATAATTAGGGAGGTGATACCATCCTTTGAGAACACAGATTTTATACATCTTTCAGTGGTTATTTCTAAATGGACCACATTACTGACCATAACACATCTGCTGTTATGGTCACTAATGGATATTGAGAAGATTCTATAAGGCATTGGTGTTTCAGAGTATAATAAAGATCACCTGAACCACATATGAACAATTGATTCCAGGAAGGCACTGCCTCCAGCCTCATTCATCATAAAAACTTTCAATCTGTACTCAGAAGATATACAGTAGCCAAGACTGAGTCCTTTTGCAGACGTAAAAGTGAAGTTAAACACTGGAATACAGTGGAAAAGAATTATCTCTAAGAGAGTATTTAAATTATTTACACAATGCTGACTTGCAGCACTTCCACAAGAGTGAGTGCCAGGTAATTGGAGAACCTGGCAGTCCAAAGTAAAAAAAACCCATACAGTTACACATCAAGGATAAGAAATGGTTAGTGTTGAATTCTTTGCAACATAAATATAATGTTAATTAGAGTGGAAACGTTAGCAAAATGAACTGATGTAGGATCTAGCAACACATTCTGTTGATGAAATCCACATGCATAATTGTGCGTAAAAAGAAAGGTAATTATGTTCAAACAGACCTAAATGTTTTCATTATTGTTGAAAGATGAGTAAGTGCAAGGTGTGACATGATAAATGTAAACAGTCAAATAAGTGAGAGTTAAAGTCTCAACATCTGTCTGCAGAAAACTGCTCCAACAATTTTCGCCTACACTATTAATCAATCATTTTTCACTGATTTGTATTTATTTGCTGTGTTATTGTTAATGGATTTAGCTGGCAAAAAATGGCTAGCTTTAGAACACCTGAAGAAGGTTCCACTGCCAGAACATTGTGTTTCTTTCTTTACCTTTCAGCATGGAATCAACCTTTACCTGTCCCTAGGCCAAATTTAGCTAACTAAATTTGATTAACTAAAATTTTTTGCTGCTTAAGCAAGTAACCACTTTTATTGAAGTCTTTTTCTAAGTGAATTATTATTCATGTATTTGCTGGTGTCTTATATTTGCATCCATTTATACTGTACATCCTGGATTTTTACTGTAGCAATCTCAATGAAGCACTTTGCTCAAGGGTAAAATAAAAGAATTTGTTTCACCCCAGTG